TTTCACTTGTATTTTTGGAGTGAAATAAAATATTGGTTGTGTCCGAGGAGTAGGCAAAATTAGCCGAACCTCGTAAATTCTGGTGTTCCCTTTATTGTTGCTTTATTGTCTTATTTATTATTTGGTGGCTGTCATAATTTTTGGTATAGTAGTTGTGACTTATTCACACTATGTACATTTGGCTTCCGCAACAAATAGTACTAGATCCCCACCGTGCTTATTTTATAACCTTCTATATTTAATTTGTTTTTACTAAAGCTTAAATAAGTACCTAAATAACCAGAAAATTTCACTTTGCAATAAGAAAGGTAATTTAGAGCGTTGCCTTAAAAAGTAGAGTTGCCTTTTTTATAAGTAATTCTTTCCTTAAGTTAATCGCTTAAAACTTATGATGAATTTAAGATGAGTTCGTTGATTTTGTAATGTCACTTCACTGAAAAGTTATATGGACAAGGAAATGAATCAAGTCATATTTCCTATTTTTGTTATAATTACTTTAAGAGCTGAGCAAGAACACAAAGAACCACCTGTAGCTCAGTGGATAGAGCATCTGTTTTTAGAAGGTCGTAGGTTCGACCTCTACCTGGCGTGGTACATTTTTTATACATCTTTCCTAACTTGGCCATTTCTTTTCTGTGCAGAACTATTGCCTAAGGGTGTCGGGTCGGGTTGACCCGGTTCGGACCGGTAGGTAAGGGGCAGGGCTGGGTTGGGACGGGGAAGGGATTGTGCCGGGTAGGATGTAGGTATCTGTTAACCGGACTGGTCAGAATCGGTGATGTCGAACCGATTAACCGGAACGGTTCAATGGCTATTTCAATTTTTTATTTATTTAATATAGTTGAACATTGGCAACGGTCAGCTGCCATTTTGACCGTTGCCCAATGACTATTTTGCAAGAATAGTCCTTTTTGGGCATCTTTTTCAAAAATAATACTTTTAGTATTTACTAATTTAGCCCTTTGAAAAACTATAAATATATCCCCCTCTTCTTCATTTCTTCACTCATCTCTCAGTTCTCAAACTCAAATTCTCGATTCAAGTTAAATCATGCTATATGCTTCTAGAATGCGCTTATATGTTTGGGAATACTTTGAGGTGGTAGAAGAAAATGAAGAAGTTCGCAAAGTAAAGTGCAAGAACTGTGGTCGGGTCTTAAATTTTCGTCAAAAGTGAGAGGGCACAAGCTGTTTAATGAGGCATATGAAGAGTTGTCTTGAGCGTCCTCCAGAAATTTGTATTTAAGTTAATTTGAGACAACTTGTGTTATTATAAAATTATTAGACTTATTTAAGCTTAATATTTTAGTTTTTTAGATTAATTTGAAGTATTATTATGCAATAAAAACTATGAAAGCCTTTGAAGTTTGATTTATATTTAATAATTAACCTTTGAATTTACTCTTTTTTCTTTAATTTAGTTGTAGTAAAATATAAACTTTAATTTCTAAGTTTGAATTAAAAAAAGAACTTGCAAATTATAAGTTCAAATTTTTTCCATCTTCATTGTATTCTATTATCTTAATGAAATATTTAAATATAAGGATTTTAAAGCCTTTAAAATTTATTCAAACACTCTTTTTATAAGATTATTTTTATGTTTTATATTTTTATTTTATCTTAATATAAATTACAGTAGTTATAAAAAATACAAAAAAAATTAAATAAAACCGGCCCGGCCCCTTAAGCCCGGAACCGTTCTGGTTCAATAATTCACCGGAGGGGCTAGGAGCCGGTAAAACCTGTATTACAAAACCGGTAACCAGCCCGGTCCGGAGACCAGCCAGTCTCCTTTTCAAATAGTCCAGCCCGGCCCCTTGACACCCATACTATTGCCCCTATAATCGCCTGGCTATTAGGTAAAAAGTTTGGAGTCCAATCTTTTTTCGAATTTTTCTCCTCTTTATCGAGTAATCTAATAGAACGAACCGTTTCACATTTTTATGCAAAGTACATATGCATAGATATGAATGATCGATATTTCGAGACTAATTTCCTTATAAATTGAACCGATTGAAACATAGATATGATAGTTGTAATATATCTGCTCAGGTCTATTACAAGATCCTTTTAAATCTATGGGCTAGCCAGACCTGACCATATAAAGGGCATTGGATGCATGAAATATTCTGTAATCATTTGGGGTAGGTCGCACAACCTACCCTGATGCAAGTATGTTGTTGTAGGTCACACGAAGACACCAAGGCTCCGCTCATAGGGCAGATATATTGTATTCACTAATCCCCTAGTAGAATAGAGAGGAATCACTATGGACTTTTTTTTAATTAGACAGATGTAAGTGGCTTGTTTTGGTACAAACAGCAACTAGATTTTTTTTACCGATCACTAATGATCGATATTTCGAGACTAATTTGCCTATAAATTGAACCGATTGAAACATAGATATGATAGTTGTAATATATTTGCTCAGGTCTATTACGAGATCCTTTTAAATCTATGGGCCAGCCAGACCTGAACATTTAAAGGAGCATTTCAAAGGCATTTGGATGCACGAAACATTCTATAATCATTTTGGGCAGGCCGCACAACCTACCCTGATGCAAGTATGCTGCTAATTCTACAGTTCGAACCCGTAACCTATTGGTCACACGAAGACAATTTTATTGCCGCTCCAAGGCTCCGCTCATAGGGCAAATATATTGTATTCACTTAGCTCCTAGTAGAATAGAGAGGAATCACTACGGATTATTTTTTTAATTAGACAGATGTAAGTGGCTTATTTTGGTACAAACAGCAGCTTGATTTTATGTGAGATTCCCAAGAGCATCTAGCATCAAACAAGGCTTTCAAGATACATCACACTATACATGGTAGTCAATCACAAAAAATAATCAAGATTGAAGTTGTGTTTCGCCAAAAGACTTAGAGACTTCTCCTCGTACACCTTCGATGCATATTCAAAACCATCAAACTTGTGGTCCTAAACATTTTATTAGTTGAACTTCTCAACGATTTCTGTGAAGCTTCCACTCCAATTCGTATGTCAATTTGGTTTGCTTTTCTTTAGCATTTTGGAAGATCACTTGGAGGAGGTAAGATTGATTGATTAGGGCCTCTTCCATTTTCTACAAAAAATACCATCTTTAATCCCCATGTTGTATGAACCTCCAAATGACAGTGCAAAAACCAAACACCTACATATCAAAATTACATATTACAAACAAATGAAAGCCTCTCTAAAAGGACAAATAATTAACCATAAAAATGGAAGTAAAAAGGAAATTTTACCAGGATTATCTGCTCGGAATCTAATGGCAGTCCGTCCAGCAGTTGGTACACTCATAGTATTCCTCTCAACAGGATCCACTAGGTTGAACTTCTTTGGATCATTTTTAGGATCATAATTTCCAACTCCTTTCCCAACAACAAAGAAATTAAATCCGTGTAGATGTGTTGGATGGCTCTCTGGTGCTATGATAGAAGTTCCTTGGAGCACTACCTGGACAGTTGAATTAAATTCAACTTTGTAAACTTTTGTACCATTTTGAGTCTGCAAATTTGTTGGTGGAGTGCCAGTATAGTTGAAAGGTATTGCTGGATTTTCAGGGAAATCCGTGGTGTAGACATCACTTATGTTATAGTAATGTGCTTGTAGGATAGCGGTAGTAGGCATGACAAAGGTAACATTATTGATAGCTGCCACAACTCTGCTTCCATTTTGGCATGTAGCACAAGGATTAACACCGATACCCATAGTTAGAAGCAATGAATGAACGATTATCAATGAGACATTAGCAGGGTATTTTTTCGAGTTTAGACTCCTTAGGAAGTCTACAAAAATGTTGGTCACTGGGGTAGCATTTCGAGATGGAATGGTAGTGAGAGCAGTAGGGGAAAGTGCATCAGTTCCTTGATAGTGGATTGTTCCAGTTGCAGTTAGATTATCAGTGGCTACTATAGTGTCCATAAAAGGAGATACGGCTATTAAGTACTTGCCAGCAGTCTGATCAGCAGTGAGAATGGCATTTGTCGTCTGTCCTGGAGCGATGAAAATGGTGTCGGTCTTGAAGGGTTTAACGTAAGATGCATCAACCTCAACAACAGTCAAATTGTGCCCTGCAATCTGTTAGGACCCGGTGGCACTAAACACTACTGCACAGCGGAATAAAATAAATGATCAACGAAACCAAAAATAAATGACACAATATTTAACGTGGTTCACCTAAAACGTTTAGGCTACGTCCACAAATCCGACACCAACTTCCACTAAAACATTTAGCAGGCATACAAAGAGAGACTTCCCCAATAATTTGGAGGTACAACAATTCCTGAGCTCTACCCAAAATAGTGGCGCACACAAAAGTGTTTCCCGAAAAATACCCGACTAGTATTTCTACTCACTATTTTGTCACTCCCCTGTTAGGAAACATTCCTAAAGGAACTATATCTCTCTCCCTCTCAAACTCTTTCTTCTTGAGTTTTGATATATTTTTT